TGGTGAAGTCAGAAAATTGATATCTTCATTTTAATTATTTTAATTTTCATACAACTCGGATTTAAAAAAAAATATTTTGTATGAAAATTAAAATAATTAAAATGAAGATATCAATTTTCTGACTTCACCATACCATTTATATGACCATGTTAACATGGGCTAGTGTCGGCTCATATACCCATTTACCTAACACCCTGTATACACTTGTATTCTATGGTAAAGTTTTCTCTAAACGTCCTTGTCGACCCAAACCTGCCTGTCGTCTGCGGTGTTTCCGGACGGACACGACCTTTCAAGCAAGCTTTCAAGAGGAGAGCGTATCTTCACCTTAAAGGCCGGCAACGCACCTGTAACGCCCCTGGGTCTGCGGGTGTCTATGGGCGACGGTAATCACTTATCATCAGGTGATCCGTCTACTCGTTTGCCTCTTGTCACATAAAAAAAAACAATATTTACTACTTCTAGTGTTTCCTTCCAGAGGTCCTCTTCAGGATTAAAAGACAAGTCATAGTTTTCCACCAAGGTGGAGAGGAGAAGAGATTTGTTTTGAAGAACCAATCAGGAATCAAGTGGAGAGAAGAGATGTGTCGGGTAGCCTTATTTTTGTGTAGAATTTGAACCGTGAGCTAGCCAGCGGCGGCGTTGTTGGGCAGACTTGGACTTGGCGGCCAAAATGCGCCCCTTTCTCTTCTCCCCGCGCTTCACACACACGAAAGCGGCATATAATTCGTGGACTTACAGCTAACAGTTAGGCCCGGATTCCACTACAGCGGAGCGGAAGTATTTTGAATATCCATGCAAGATTCCTGAATAATGAAATCTGATTGGTTATTCAAAACACTTCTCTGCAGAAGGCAGAGCGGAGCCTTTGTGGAAACCGGACCTCACACTCGCTCATATCTCTCCTCTCGTTTTCTCTTCACTCGTGTCTTTCCTCGTCTTCTCTTTGCTTCAGAATTAACCTGCTAGTTCTCTCCTTGTATCAACACAAGCTAAACTAAAGCCTGGTCCGTGAGCACGTAGAATACCGTTCAATAACCCCAAGCTACCCATCCTTATCGCTCGCACGTAATTATGTTGCTGTCGCGACTGTGCGACGCGCGCCCGCAGTGAGTGTGCGAGCGCGACAGCAACATAATTACGTGCGAGCGACAAGGATGGGCAGCTTGGGGTCATTGGACGGGATTCTACGTGCTCACGGACCAGGCTTTAAAAGGTAATTATTTTGCAGCATGCTCCGAGTATTGAACCTGGGCCCTGTGAGCGAGGAGCCAGCTTGCCGCTTGTCAGGCGGCACGCGGCGGCGCGTGTGCGTGGCGCTGGCCTTCGTGGGCCGGCCGCACCTCGTGTCGCTGGACGAGCCCACCGCCGGCGTCGACCCCTCGCACCGCCGGTCAGTATACATCACAACTGGGCCCGGGCAGCGACGAGCCTACCTGGCGGGCCGATTTCAAAAGAACTGAGCAGAGATGAGATTTAGTGCCTTTTCACACGTTCCGGTTGCCGGCTATCCGGCGCCGGGTACCCGGTGGTGAAGTGTATGGGCATGGTACGTAGCTTTCACATGTTCCGGCGTAATTAATCCGGCATGCCCATACATTTGACGCCGGGTAGCCGGCGCCGGTTAGCCAGCAACCGGGACGTGTGAAAAGGGCCTTAGGGTCTCGCAATAACGGAACTTCGAGCACGTGCTCCACCACCAAACCACTATACAATGACAATACATATTATTTAAAAATAAAAATTATTATTCTTACATTCTATTGGTTGGATTTAGGCGCAGTGAGAGCGTTCTAAAGATGAGACGTTTTTAATACACCATGCTACAGGGTGGCGCAGTGACTCGAAACGATCACATCCCGCAGGGTAACGCAGGTTTACTACAGGACCGCTCACCGCCTTTAATAGGTAGTCGCATCTCTGAGTTAGAAATGAAAACCGGAAAAAGCAGCGTGGTACGTCCACCCATAAGGTGGACTGACGACATCATAAAGTTAGCAGGAAGGTGCAAGACGCAGGCCGCTTCCAACCGGGCAACATGGAAAGCATTGGGGGAGGTCTATGTTCAGCAGTGGACGTCCTATGGCTGAGATGATGATGATGATGATCTCCGAGTAATTTGACTTCTTCTCATCACCACATCGTTATGTAATCCCTTTATCAATCCAACAGTGACATCTGGTCGATGATCGTGAAGCTGAAGGAAGAGCGCACAGTGCTGCTCACCACGCACCACCTCGACGAGGCCGAGCTGCTCAGCGACCAGATCGTCATTATGCACAAGGTCGGTAATCATAAATAGCTAACTGTTATAAATAACTAGCTTTCCGCCCGCGGCTTCGCCCGCGTGGAATTTTGTCTGTCACAGAAAAACTTAATCGCGCGCGTCCCTGTTTCAAAAACCGGGATAAAAACTATCCTATGTTCTTTCCCGGGACTCAAACTATCTCTATGCCAAATTTCATCAAAATCGGTTGCGAGGTTTAAGCGGGAAAGCGTAACAGACAGACAGACAGACAGACAGACAGACAGACAGACAGACAGACAGAGTTACTTTCGCATTTATAATATTAGTTGGGACTAGTTGGGATAAATAATAATAAATATCCTTGGACATTTTACACTGCGCTTCTAGTCCCAAACTAAGCAAAGCTTGTACTATGGGTACTAAATAACGGATATAAACATACTTAAATACTTTTTTTTTGTAAATACATACTTATTATACATAGAAAACACCCAGTCCAATACAAACAAATATGTTCATGCACACAAATGTTTGTACTGTGCGGGAATCGAACCCGCTACCTCCGGAATAGTAGTCCGTTTCGAACCACTACACCAAACGGCCGACAAGGCAATAAAGTTAGAATAATCTTGAAACTCCTAAAAGGCAGGTAACGCACCGACAACTCTTCTAGTCTTTCTTTCAATAGTGACGTTTCCATCTGCAAAAAAGGGGTTTCCAACGTGGCTTTGAATGTCGTGTCGAACGTAACGCAATAAAGACATTTCTTCGTATTTTTGTTCGCTATTAATTCGACACGATATTAATATTATGTCATGCAGACAATTAGTATAAAGAAAATCATATTTTAGTTACCTTGAAAATACCATTCCAGTGGTAGGGTTAATACAGGGACGTGTAAAAGTGCGTTTTAAAAGCAGTAAAATAAATAAGTTTTATGATTTTTTTTATTACCTACTTTTATGATACAAACAAATATCCAGGGTCAAGTCCACACCTCCGGCTCCCCCATCGAGATCAAGCGCTCGCTCGGCAACGGCTACAAGCTGTGCGTGTCGTACGCCGACACCACAGACGCCGACGCCGACATAATCGCCGACACCGACACCGACGCCGACGCGTGCCTACACGAGCGCAGCAAACGGCTGCTGAGTGTAGTCCGGGAGGCCATAGCCAATGCTAACTTGCTGGAAATCAACGGACTTGATGTGGAGTTGTCGCTGCCCTTCTTTGATGCCAATGGACTGAATAACGAGTGAGTATACAAGTAGGGACGAGAGTACATGAAGGGGCGTGCTATGTATGTGGATGTAATTATAACATAAGTACCAATTAAATTGCATGAATTTTTTTTTATTTTGAATTTAGTTGCTGTTTTTCCATAAATCTTAATCTTGTGTGTAGCTAAAGCCTGGTCTGTAAGCACGTAGAATTTTGTCCAGTGACCCCAAGCTACCCATCCTTATCGCTCCCGCGTAATTATGTTGTTGTTGCGCTCGCACACTCACTGCGGGCGCGCGTCGCACAGTCGCGACAGCAATATAATTACGCGCGAGTGATAAGGATGGGTAGCTTGGGGTCATTGGACAAAATTTTACGTGCTCACGGACATAATCAACCTGCATGTAATGGATAAATTTTGATTGTCCTTTATGAGTCAAGTACACTTTAAGCAATGATTAATGGTTTTAACAAATTAAAATGATTTGATTTTCCCGTGAGAAAACATGGTAAAAAGTCAGTCTTTGGCTCATAATTGTCTAACTTCAAATGGTTTTATAACCTGAACTATTGGTGTTTTGTTCCTCAGCTTCCTCAAACTATGCACATCCCTGGAAGCGAGCCAAGAGGCGCTGGGCTTCCGTGACTACTCGCTGGAGTGCAGCAGCCTGGAGCAGGTGTTCCACAACGTGTGCTCGCAGGCCGAGCTCACCAGCCACGCCATAGAGGACGGTGAGTCGTACGCATAAGGTTCATAATCTGATCCACGTGCGTGTAAAATCACGCTGCTGGTTGCACCCAGGACAAACATTTCTGATTAGGAGATCTGTATGCATCGCAGTTGAACGTATACTCGTATAGGCAAACGTAACTTTTTTTTAAATTGTTTATTTACTATGTGTTCTCAGCGCCAGAGGAATCGGCATCCAAGAGTGCGTCTACATCAAGTGTTCGCACTGAAGCGGCGCCGCTCGTGGGCGGCACGGGCCCGCTGACGGGCGGCGCGCTGCAGCACTGGCGCGCGCTGCTGCGAGCCAGATACCTGCACTACTCCCGGAACAGGTCAGTGACTACACCTGACGCTTGTGACGGCGTCACAGCGCGTCACATCGAGCGGGCCCGCTGACGGGCGGCGCGCTGCAGCACTGGCGCGCGCTGCTGCGAGCCAGATACCTGCACTACTCCCGGAACAGGTCAGTGACTACACCTGACGCTTGTGACGGCGTCACAGCGCGTCACATCGAGCGGGCCCGCTGACGGGCGGCGCGCTGCAGCACTGGCGCGCGCTGCTGCGAGCCAGATACCTGCACTACTCCCGGAACAGGTCAGTGACTACACCTGACGCTTGTGACGGCGTCACAGCGCGTCACATCGAGCGGGCCCGCTGACGGGCGGCGCGCTGCAGCACTGGCGCGCGCTGCTGCGAGCCAGATACCTGCACTACTCCCGGAACAGGTCAGTGACTACACCTGACGCTTGTGACGGCGTCACAGCGCGTCACATCGAGCGGGCCCGCTGACGGGCGGCGCGCTGCAGCACTGGCGCGCGCTGCTGCGAGCCAGATACCTGCACTACTCCCGGAACAGGTCAGTGACTACACCTGACGCTTGTGACGGCGTCACAGCGCGTCACATCGAGCGGGCCCGCTGACGGGCGGCGCGCTGCAGCACTGGCGCGCGCTGCTGCGAGCCAGATACCTGCACTACTCCCGGAACAGGTCAGTGACTACACCTGACGCTTGTGACGGCGTCACAGCGCGTCACATCGAGCGGGCCCGCTGACGGGCGGCGCGCTGCAGCACTGGCGCGCGCTGCTGCGAGCCAGATACCTGCACTACTCCCGGAACAGGTCAGTGACTACACCTGACGCTTGTGACGGCGTCACAGCGCGTCACATCGAGCGGGCCCGCTGACGGGCGGCGCGCTGCAGCACTGGCGCGCGCTGCTGCGAGCCAGATACCTGCACTACTCCCGGAACAGGTCAGTGACTACACCTGACGCTTGTGACGGCGTCACAGCGCGTCACATCGAGCGGGCCCGCTGACGGGCGGCGCGCTGCAGCACTGGCGCGCGCTGCTGCGAGCCAGATACCTGCACTACTCCAGGAATAGGTAAAAACATTTACAAATAGTGTAGGCGCACACTAGCTGACACGCGACAGCGACAGCTCAGCGACCTGAGACACCTATTCTAGACATTTGCATACATAATTATGCTTGTCGCTTGCTTGTTGCTTGTTGCGACTCCTCGACTCTGACACCAAGTGTGCGAAGCTTTGAACAAAATATATGAAATTTTCGGCCGCAGCTTGTCGTCGCGTCTAAATCGCCGAGCAGTCGTATGTCACCCAGTGTGAGCGTACGCATAAGTAATCAACCTTTTTTCAACTTCAAATCATATAAAACTGGATGATACCGCTCTCCTATTGCGCGAGGCACTTATGCGCATGACTCTATGGTGGGCGTGCCGCGCGCGATCGGTACACTTCTTTCTGTGGCATTCTCAACTCTATTCAGTTTTAGTAAACTTCATTGTGTGGCAGTTTCAGTATCCTTAGAATCCTTCGTTATCTGCTTTACCCCCTTACTCCATCTACAACGTATTACCTGACCGCAGGTGGCTACTGTTCGTGCTGCTGGTTCTCCCGTCGCTGTTCGTGGGCATCGCAATGGCGTTCTCGACCATCCGGCCGCCTGCTGACAATGAGATCGCGCTGCGACTCTTCCCCGGCCTTTATGCTAACACCACGCAGTTTATCGTGTAAGTAGCAGTTCATAATGTACACCTGCTACAAGTCTAGCGCATGACTACAGTGACTGAGGCATGGGAACGACACGGGAGGGATGACATATGACGATGGAGCATACAAGTCTGAAGCACATATGAAGTCTCGCTGACGTTTGATGACACAAAAACACCTTTTCGTCCCGCTCTCATATCTCAGGCAGCAACTCACTAGACCTATAGTGTTCTTGTGGGGTGGAGTACGTTACTAGCAGAATGTTTGGGTTACTGTGAAAATAATCGCATCTGATTTATGTACTTTTCCTAAATTAAGTTAATTGTTGATAAGTTCTTAAATGTTATTCTGAATTTTCTTAAGTCTTGTTTGAATAGTGTAATTGGTATTACCGTTCTATTCATGAATAAATGAATAAAAATAAATTGTACCTATATTTTTTTTGCAACCTCGTTCTTATTGCAGAAAGATAACTCAATGTTTTCTTCTCTACGCCGAAAATCAGTGACAAAATAACTGTCCCAAAACATTTTTTTTTACTTTACCCTCAAGTCAATAAGTATTTTTATACCTACTGTATAAATACTGTGACTAATAATGACGTACAGTTGTACGCCATTGTTATCGACCCGGGGATAATTATTATAGTTTAAAAAACATATGATGAGTCATATCTAAAAGAAAATGATTGTGATTTCAGGCCAGATCCGTCAAGCTATTCCGAGAACGTGGACCCAACGTTTGCACAACATGTCCTAGACTACTTAATGGTGGGCGATGGTATCCGAAACTGGACTCAAGCGGTAAGAATAAATTACAACTAACACCCAGTTAAGTATTGTGTATGTGCATGTTTGATTTACCTTTACATATAAACTTATTTATAAGTTTTGACGTGTATGATCTTTCAACTCGAAGCTCACAAAACTTAGCATTGCCGTGTTGTGAGGTTCGTACATGGATATTAATGTATGTGCCTTCCATCAGGACACACCGACTTGTCAGTGCAGCGACAGCATACAGCAGTGCAACGCAAGCAATGCTATCGACAAGCCGAGTATGATGGTGCTGCCAGACGTAAATACTCTCAATGAGTGGCTCGTCAACTCGCAGAAGGACTACATTGAAAAAAGGTATATAAAATAAAAGTACCTTGGCTTTCTTGGGGGCACTTACACACTTAATTCTTACTGCAGTTTTCAAGTTGTAGATTCTGTCTACACAGGAGTTGCAGCGGTGGAAATGAGAGATGGGAATAGTCCCGTTTAACACCAGTTTTGCTTTTATTAGCAGCAGTTGTACACCGTGTATTTTTTTTTCTACACCTCCCGTCCCAATAAGATCGAAGACAATTTTGCTGATGCAATCACCGTGATAGAACCGCGTCCCTTTTTTTTCTGTAAGACAAGGCTGGTATTTGACCGCAATCGCACCTGGTGTTACGTGAGATGTAGTCTAAGATGGTACATATCTACCCTGTAAGTGCTTATTCACTCTCGCCTTGAAAAGGCCCGGATTATAGTGTTCAGGAAAACATCCTGCGCGGGATTATGCGCCTGTCTAAATCTTTCAGTGTAAATGAATTGGATTTTAATGTCTCCAGATATACGGGCTTCACAGTATCCCTGGCCAACAACAAGACGAACCTAATCGCGTGGTACAACAACAAAGGTCACCACGCGCTGCCCGCCGCCCTATCCGCCCTACACTCGGCCGCCCTACGCGCCGCCCTACGCGCGCCAGCCGCCGTCACCGTCTACTCGCATCCCATGAAGATCTCGCCCGAGCAACTGAGCAAGGACACTGTGTGAGTACTACAGTCTACACTCACACCCGCCGCCGTCACCGCCTACTCGCATCCCATGAAGATCTCGCCCGAGCAACTGAGCAAGGACACTGTGTGAGTACTACAGTCTACACTCACACCCGCCGCCGTCACCGCCTCGTCACCGTCTACTCGCATCCCATGAAGATCTCGCCCGAGCAACTGAGCAAGGACACTGTGTGAGTACTACAGTCTACACTCACACCCGCCGCCGTCACCGCCTACTCGCATCCCATGAAGATCTCGCCCGAGCAACTGAGCAAGGACACTGTGTGAGTACTACAGTCTACACTCACACCCGCCGCCGTCACCGCCTACTCGCATCCCATGAAGATCTCGCCCGAGCAACTCAGCAAGGACACTGTGTGAGTACACTACAGTCTGTGTACTCACAATATCCGCCCTCATCTCCTGACAAAAAAGTGTGTACGTGGGGTGTTCAAAAAGTAATGAAAATGAGATATTTCGAGCCATCACAAAAATCTGAAAAAAAAATTGGGAAGGTAGCTTAATTCTTCACTAGAAAGTTCACCATTGCATTTAAGAATTAGGTACTTTCATCTGAACACGCCAATTTTTTTCAGATTTTTGTGATGGCTAGATATTTCTAACCATCACAAAAATCTGAAAAAATTGCAAAATCCCACCCCTCGTATTTTATGAAGTTGGTATAGGTTAGTGTCCGTGACTCCCACTCGGCGTGGGGCACACTGAAAACCAGCGTCGTGGCCTTCCTCACCGGGGGCCACGGCATTGCTGAGTGGGGTCCCATTGCAATGGGCATCGCTGTGCGACAGGGTGGCACTGCTTAGTTTACTTTTTTTTCCATTGTATGTTTTATGTGTTACCCCTGTCTTTTTCTATTTACCTTTTTTGTCTTTTGTGATGTCTATTAAATGTTTCCTTATTTCTTTCAAATGTAGACGTAAGAGATCGCGACAACGGTTTGATTTCGAGCAGGCAGATTTCGGCATACGTCTTGCGTTGATAGTATTTGGACGATCGCTGCGCGGAGGCTTCCGTCGACCACTCATAGCGGTTTTATGCTTCAACCACACCAACGCGTGCAGATCAAAGGCTAATGACAGGTCACGTGAACTGTCATAGGTCGCGCGACCTGGTATTGGCCTTTTGATCGCGCCGGCGATGGCGACCTGAACGCATTGGTGTGGTTGAAGCTTTAGTGATGTGCGCATATTCTAGTTACATGTTAACGCCATAAATTAATAACGTAAAGGCAAAATTATTTAATTTTTAGCGTTAAGAGTTGAAAAAATCCAGTGTCTGAGTAGCTCAGTTGGAAAAGCAGTCGCCCGGCAAGTGGAAGATCGTGGGTTCAATTCCCTTAGGCAGTTGTATTTTTTCAAGTCTATATATATAAAAATGAAACCCGTTTTCCGTTGTCACGACATAACATGAAAACGGGTTGACCGATTTGGCTGATTTTTTTTTGTAGTTTTCTAATACTCTGTACAAGGTTTTTACGGAATAAAATATAAAGAAAATCTCTACGCTAAGGCGGTACGAAGTTCGCCGGGTCAGCTAGTTATTTATAATTTTCAAACACAATGGCAACTGTCCACAGCTACCAGCACGTAGCAGACGCGGGTATCTCGGCGCTGGTGGTGCTGGCATACTCTTTAGCCAGCGCGGGCGCGGCCGTGTACTTGGTGCGCGCGCGCACTCGCCAGGAGAAGCGCCTGCAACTGCTGGCCGGCGTGCCGCCGCTGCGCTACTGGGCCGCCGCGCTCGTATGGGATATGCTGGTAAGCCACTTTCTATTTTTTACTCGACTGCGCCAAAAGGAGGGTTATGTATGTATGTAGGTATATTTCTTTGGCACGGCCTAAACGGCTTGACCGATTTTAGCGTGAGAGATGTCGTTAGATTCATCTTAATCGTGAGAGTGACACTGGCTACTTATATCAAAATTGAAAAAAAAAAACAAAATGGCGGATTTCACGCGCCATAATGTCTTCCGAAAAAAAATATTCTCGAAACCTATCGATTGGGGTAATAAAATAAAGGGCTTTTTTGTAGCTTACAAAAATTTATGTTATTTTAAATAAATAAATATATCCTTGGACATTTACACTGCGCCTCTAGTCCCAAACTAAACAAAGCTTGTACTATGGGTACTAGACAACGGATATAAACATAATTAAATACTCTTTTTATAAATACATACATATTATACATAGAAAACACCCAGTCCAATACAAACAAATATGTTCATGCACACAAACAAATGTTTGTTCTGTGCGGAAATCGAACCCGCTACCTCCGGAATAGTAGTCCGTTTCGAACCACTACACCAAACGGCCAACTATATTGTAACTGTATTGTGAAGCCTCAATGTAACCTTGTTGGTGTTCAAATAAATAAATAAACTGTATGTTTCCCAAAAATAAATAAAATAAATGTTACAGTGACAGGTCATCGTCTCTACGAACTATGTGCCCCGCCCACTGCCACTTGATTTTAGCAATTCTGCGAGCTATATCGATCACTTTGGTTCCCCTGCGGATCTCCTCAATTCTAATTCGATCACGCAGGGGAACTCCGAGCATAGCCCGCTCCATCGCTCTTTGGGTGACCTTGAGCCTTCTTATGACGATGGCTGTTGGGGCAGAAAAGTTTCCGACTGGCGACCACGGGCTGTACGTGGGCAGACCTCCTACTAGGTGGACCGACGATCTAAAGGTCTCGGGAAGAGCCTGGATGCAGGCAGCGCAGGACCGTTCATTGTGGAAAACCTTGGGGGAGGCCTTTGTCCAGCAGTGGACGTCATTTGGCTGAAACGATAGTGACAGGGCCTTACTCTACAGCAGTGTTTCTCAAGGGTCGCAAGAGGTCGAAAAAACTACTCCAGTAAAAAAAAAAATCTTATAAAGACAGATAATCCGAAATCTAATTATGCAAATGTTGTATGGATTGAAGTATTCGGTCCCTACAAACATCTTTGCAACATTATAAAATGCATGAAAAAAAAGCGAACGGTCGGGGGGTCGCCAAAATTTTTTTCATACTAGGGGGGTCGTGTCATGAAAAAGGTTGAAAAACACTGCTCTACAGTGACGCCAACTGGTGAACGCAAATATTGTAGCCCCCTGTTCTCGATAGCTTTATGAGAATTGACAGCATATTTACTAATCTTTGCAGATCATCGTCATCAACATGGTGATCACGGCGATACTGATGGAGGCGTTCCACTTCCCCGTCTTCGTGGAGAAAAATAATCTGCCGGCCATCTGTTTGCTCATTTTACTTTACGGGTAAGTTTTAGCTTATTATTATTATTATTTTGTGAGATTCATTCATTTGTATAAAAGAACGAAGTTTATCACTTTGTAGGTAATTTGTAAATTACAAATTGTAATTCCAATTCCGCTCTCAGAACGTTAAGTCGCCCATCGGGCATCGGAGGAAGAACGGCCTCTTAGATCTGTATTCCCTAAACTATTTGACGATTCTGGATATAAGAGCTTATCTAACGCCCTCTAACGTACTTTCGGATCTATCTGTCACTCACCACGGAATCTCGGTTTGCGTAAGTGACGGGTATAGATGAACTATAGATAACCCACGCTGAACTGTCCAACTAAACTCAATGACAGGGGGGCGCTACCCACTATATGGTTTCCAACATGGCAAAAATCGGAACCAGCGATCTGGTATTGACTGTGGCGCCCCCTGTCAGTGTCACGGGTGGGACAGTCGGTGTAGTTGATCTATAACGTTGCAGAATCATTTCTTTTTTCTTTATTTACTCATTTTTATAACTTGTTACATTGTTCGTTTATCTCAAATCCTATTTATTGCAAGGTTCGCGTGCGGCAGCTTGGTCCACGCGTGCGAGAAGTTGTTCAGCGAGGCGAGCGTGGCCAACATGCTGCTGTTCTGCGGCGGCGCCTTCGCCGGGCTGGGCGGCGTCACCGTGCTACTCATCCTCGACGTCATCTCCGACTCCGACGTGAGAATTTATTGATAATTCTGAATCTAGAAGCTATTGTGGCGACCTACTACGCCACTACAAACTAATGTACCAACAGATGGCGCTGTTACGACTCCACTATGGCATACTCCACCGCGCGTACAATCCTGCATCGCGTTGTCGGAGTTTTCTATCCTGCCAAGTATACAGGGTGGAATTTTGTAATGCCACCTGGAGGGAAAGTACTCTTAATACTGTAGATAGTCAATTTTACTGAAAGAAAACATTCCTTTATTTTTGAAAAGAAAGAGAACTGCATTCAAAGATTTTCGATTTTTTTTCGAAAATTCATTACCATACCATACAATTTTTTCTCTACATAATTAAAATAATTTAAGATTTCATGGTTTTCCTTTCATTTGATTTATCAAGTTTGTTAAAGAGATTTCATCCTTATACTTAACCCTAACGATTGATGCAATAAAAATACAGGGTGTAATTTTATCAGATTTTAGTTGGTTCGATTTTCGGGTGTGGCAAGCAAATTTTTGGAAATCTTTGAATGCTGTTCTATTTCTTTTCAAAAATAAAATAATGTTTTCATTGATAAAAAAATCTATCTACAATATTAAGAGTACTTTCCCTCCAGGTGGCATTACAAAATTCCACCCTGTATAATAGACAAACCAAGATGGTGTAAATTGGACCTTGGAGCACAACACCCGCTCGGAAGGAAGCACTAACACCTAGCTTCCTTATTGTGGATGAACATCAAAAATCCCACACTATCTGCTCATGCACAATTTTTCTTTATCCAATCATTTGTTTAGAATTTTCCTGTTAGAACAACGTTACTTCAGCAGGAATCGTTTTGTTTGTTTTGTGCCAAAACGACAGCACGCACCAATTTCTAATACGGTGAACATTTACATCAAGTTTGGAACTAACTATACGTTCCACAGAGTTCAATTTTCATTTGAGGAACTTCCTCAGTTGGTAATGTGAGCTTCGGAGCTACTAACACGAATAACCAGAACAATTATTTGTAATAGGAAATTTCAACGTTTTATTTTATTTCTTCATTATAGTTTCATGCAATTTGCACACATATCTAGCAATTGTTAACGAAATATTATCAAATACATTTGAACTTATTAAAATGATGATTATGTATGTTTCCAGCAAACGGACAACGCTCGGTGGGTGCTGCACAAGATCTTCCTGCTGTCGCCGCAGTTTGCTCTCGGAGACGGATTGCTCGAGATCGCCAAGAACACTATACAAGCACAGGTAATATACTGCAACAATAGCTAAACATTCTGGCGTGTAATCAGGCCTGTTCATCTCCGCGAGTTTACATCGAAAACAAAACACGCACGATGGCCCACCTACAGGATACTATTCGACAAGGCCTCACATACGAGCGAACATTGACTCACGCACGCGTATTCTTGTGTATGATGGAAGAAAATGGTGTACTAAATACTGTGCAGTATTCAACTGCCTAAATAATAATAAAAACACAGAATGTACTTTTTTAAGTTGCCTCAAGACACTGAGAGGTAAATAAGTAGTTAATATTATTCATGATAATTCATGCTAAATCATGGATTTCCTCCGCCATTTTCCGCAGTTTGGCACCTCACGTCACATCATTTTACCGAAGTCAGCCCTATAGCTTCGGCGCAGTGCCGATCACTGACGTTTGTCAACAAAATGGTGCTTGACTCTTGAGCCAGGCTAAATTACACCATATTGTTAATGACATTGAGCATACATTTTTTTAAATACCTTCGCGAAGTAAAACTTCTGTACGTAGTANATCTCGCCCGAGCAACTGAGCAAGGACACTGTGTGAGTACTACAGTCTACACTCACACCCGCCGCCGTCACCGCCTACTCGCATCCCATGAAGATCTCGCCCGAGCAACTGAGCAAGGACACTGTGTGAGTACACTCTCCGCACTTACACTCGTCGCCCTATTCTACACTGGGCCATTATCGTCGGTACTTACTCACTTACTATCAGGTGAAATACAGCCCAGAGCTTCCTCGTTGGGGATAATCAGGTGAGATACAGGATACAGGCCAAGAGCTTCCTTGCAATTTGACAAGAAATGTAGACGTAAGTGAGTGAGCTAATCTCGTGATCGCCGCGGAGTCGTGGCGTTCCCGCCACGTCGTCGCTCCGCTTTAAAAACGCTTGTGATCCACCAGGCTGGCAAGGCGACAGCAGTTAGAGCACGGCATAGATCTTGCGTTGATAGTATTTGAACGATCACTGCGCGGAGGCTTCCGTCGACCACTCATAGCGGTTTTATGCTTCAACCACACCAACGCGTGCAGATCAAAGGCCAATGACAGGTCGCGTGAACTGTCATAGGCCGCGCGACCTGTCATTGGCCTTTTGATCGCGCCGGCGATCAAAAGGCCACGAGGCATCGACGCGTTGGTGTGGTTGAAGCTTTAGTGATGTGTGCACATTCTAGTGACAATATGTTAACGCCATAAATTAATAACATAAAGGCAACATTATTTCATTTTTAGCGTTAAGAGTTGAAAAAATCCAGTGTCTAAGTAGCTAGATAGAGGTAAAATAGCCAGTTCCTCCGTGGTTGAGGATTCCGGGTGAAGCTCGTTTCCACCTTCGGCCTGATTGTCACTTACCATCAGGTGAGATACAGGCCAAGAGCTTCCTCGTTGTGAATTTAAAAAAAAACCGCTCAGTTGGAAGAGCAGTCGCCCGGCAAGCGGAAGATCGTGGGTTCAATTCCCTTAGGCAGTTGGATTTTTTCAAGTTATTTATAATTTTCAAACATAAGTGGGTAAGTCATACCAAAAGATCGCTAGAAACCCTTCGCATCCAATATAATAATGTCTTTAGGATGATGTTGGGGCTGCCACGTTTCTGTAGTGCATCGGGGATGTTTGCGGAATACCAAACTGATGGCTTCAATGCTATCATCCGCAAAAAAACGGTATCCCTTATTAACAGGGTGCGAGGCAGTCGCAACAGCATACTCAAGACACTAGCGGACAGGTTAACATCTCCGCTATGGGAATGCTTCGTGCAGAGAGTGATCACGGGAACCTGCCCGCCTTGTTGTGATCTCAATTGATAATTATTTATTATTTGATTTTAATTTTATTTTAGATGATTCTGATTTTAATTTAATTTTAAATTCCTGATTCTAATTTAATCTGATTTTAATTTGATATTACTTAATTTTAATTGTTTGATGCCCATTTTAATTTTAATTTAATTTTGTTTGAAATATTTTTACTAACCATTTATTGTTTAAGCACAAATTGTTACTAACCCATATGGATACTGTTTATCTGAAATAAATGANTTGAAGCGCCTCTATGCCAGGGTTTTTATGTTCCTGGTCAGGCTATACATTTTTTATTGAATAGCGTCTCAAATCCTATTTATTGTAAGGTTCGCGTGCGGCAGCCTGGTCCACGTGTGCGAGAAGTTGTTCAGCGAGGCGAGCGTGGCCAACATGCTGCTGTTCTGCGGCGGCGCCTTCGCCGGGCTGGGCGGCGTCACCGTGCTGCTCATCCTCGACGTCATCTCCGACTCCGACGTGAGGAAACAATTTGACACCATTCCCCAATCATTCGAAATCACAACTTTTCTAAAAATACTTCATTCCGGTCTTCAAAACTCAATTTTAAATTTCCTGTAAATTACGATTTTTGGTCGCATTATAATTGAAAAAGTAGGTAGCTTAATTGAGTTGACAAAATAGTGACGTCATTTGCTTTTATAGTCTGGTCCGTGAGCACGTAGAATTTTGTCCAATGACCCCAAGCTACCCATCTTTATCGCTCGCGCGTAATTATGTTGCTGTCGCGCTCGCACACTCACTGCGGGCGCCCGTCGCACAGTCGCGAAAGCAATAGTATTACGCGCGAGCGATAAGGATGGGTAGCTTGAGGTCATTGTCAACTTTACTCCGGCAGGAATCGTTTTTTTTTTTGTTTTGTACCAAAACGACAGCACGTACCAACTTCTAATACGGTGAACGAACATTTTACATCAAGTTTGGATACTGGAGTTTTCATACGTTCCACAGAGTTCAATTTTCTTTGAATTTTCTCAGTTGGTAATGTGAGCCTCGAAGCCACTAACACAAATAACCAAAACAATTATTTGTAATATGCAACTTCAACTTTGTTTTTATTTTTTCAATATACCTTGATGCAATTTGCACACATATCTAGCAAGTGTTAACTAAATATTACCAAATACATTTCCACTTATTAAAATGATGATTATGTATGTTTCCAGCAAACAGACAACGCTCGGTGGGTGCTTCACAAGATCTTCCTGCTGTCACCGCAGTTTGCGCTCGGAGACGGACTGCTCGAGATCGCCAAGAACACTATACAAGCACAGGTAATACTGCATCAATAGGTAAGCATTCTGGCGTGTAATACATGAACATGAATGATCGAATTCAAATTGTGTTTATTGTGAAATCAGGTACCTACTAAAATTAGGTCATAAAGTGTTGCAAAATTGCAATAGATCAGCTGTGATCAAGCAAAGCTAGTCTAGTTTCAATCAACTCATTATTCCTAACGTTTAATCTTAAAATTGCAGTTATGCATCACGTGTCTGTACGTGAGCATAATTTGGGATATAAACCCACTTTTTGGGATATAAACCCACTTTTATGTGAAACTGTGAGGGAGCTCGCTGCCATGTTTTCCATATATTTTTTATGAATGAATGGGGTCTCACCTTAAATTAAACGGCGTTGCGTAGCACTATAATACAAGCGTCATAATTTTATTTTATGGTGTGCCTCATCACGAGGCCGCTACAGCAAAGGTCGCTGCATATTAGATGATAGTATAGTGTTGGCATGACAGTAAAATCACGTTGTTAACATTATTTTTTGCAGGTGCTGGCTCGCTTCGGCATGGACACATACAAAGATCCACTGGGCTCCGAGCTGCTGGCGGCTCACTATACCTACCTGCTGCTGGTGGGCGGCCTGCTTTTCCTGCTCAACCTCGCCGTCGAGCACCAGTACTTCGAGTTCTTGCTGATCAAGTAAGTTGTCCCTAACATATAGATTTTGGTTACTCTCAAAACTAGAGTGAGCAACCCTATGTTAGAGTAGAGCGAGCCTATGCGCCTGGTGTGGACGCGGCTATTGATGAAGTCTGACTGCCGAGAGACACTAGACAAAATAAAAAAAAAATATTATTCGATGCTCACCGACGAGCCGCGTGGTGTCTTATTATTAATTTTATTCTTTATCACGTAACTACATTGTAACGATTAGCTCTGTACGGCTAACATGAAAAACTTTCGAGATTTGCTTTTTTGATAAAATTCGATACCTTCGAATTAAACGATAATATGACAATATTAATTCTCAAAATAAGTTTCGTGCAATTTTTCATACCAAGTTCACTTTACGACACGTTCACAAGGGCGCTGTAGTAGTTTTCGTACTAAATTTTTTGATGGTTTTCGATTCGAATTCGAAAGTTTTTCATGCTAGCCGTACTGACCCTGTTAAAGGTTTATTTAGATACCAATAGAATCTTCTGTATTATCGACCTCATTGTTGAACCCTCGCCTGCGCTTCCGCAGGTTCCGTCGGGAGTCGATCCCGCCTCTGACCGGCGCCGAGCTGGACGAGTTAGAGGAGTTAGGCGCCGGCGAGGAGCGGCGCCGCGTGCGGACGGCGCTGGCGCACGCGGACGCGCCGCTGCGACTGCACACTATTGGCAACATCAACGCCGGTGAGTTGACACATCGAACTACATTTTTGGTGTACAATAGCCCCTATTTAAATTATAGTTCTTACAACTCACAAAGGCGAGTAAGCTTTACTTGTATGTACGTGTACACGTACATAACGATAGTGTAATATCTATCAAAACTTTTGAAAAGCAGTAGCGAGCCACCACACTTGTAAAGCTCACTTGCCTTCGTGAATGAGGATTTTATTTATTTATTAGGTACACCAACAAAATCACATACATAATACAGTTCATACATTACATACATTTTCGCGATTGAAAAATCCGCCAGATGGCGGGACGTGGATGTAGGGTCTGACTGCTGCGTGATTGGTGGATTTTGACATATCTGTCAATGTCATGTCAAAAATAACCAATCATGCAGCATTTGAACCTCGCTTCTACGTATTGCCATCTGGCGGATTTTTCAATCGCGAAAACCCTCATTGCAACAACTATACATAAGATACCGTGAGGCGCGGCCGCGCGCGTGTTTGTGTATGATAGGGCTGGATACTGCGGATTTCTAGATTAAAATACAATCTTCTGATAACACACTTGTGTATTCATGGAATCCGAGACGAGAGAGAGAAACATTGCCATTACACAAATTTAAATTCCACAGTTTAGTGTTGCCATTCAACATACCGCAATGTACTTTCACAATTCACAAATTAACAAATCCTAAAGAGCAAATCCAATTACCAAATGTACATCACTTAACAGGCGACTAAGACCTGCCATACAGGAACAGCTTGAAGCGTTAGTATCGACAGCTTTAAACTGCGACTATACGTAGAATACTGTAGTTTACTATGCAGTTGCAGCCTGAAACTGTCCGTGTACGGCGGGCCTTAGGAGAGATACACAAAAAGGTTTACCCTGGCGTGAGGAGTTTAAGCCTCCCGCTGTGGAGTCATTTATATTACCAATCTGTCGATTTCACGACGAATCAAGACCACAGCGAATACACGACTAGTTTTTAAATTTTCGCAAAATAAATACATTACGAGTATAACAGTTTTCACTTATACTTCCCAGGTTTCGTAGACACAGAGGGCAAGAAGAACTCGCTAAGCAGCATGGTGTCGGGCCCGCAGGACGTGGCGGCGTGCGTGGGGCTGGGCAAGGCCTACCCCACGCGTGGGCCCGGCGCCGGCCGCGTCGCGCTGCGAGACCTCACGCTGGGCATACCGCCGGGGCAGGTGAGGATCTTTTTTTATAAGGAAGTTGGTAATAATTTATCGGTATAAATCACTATCATGGCAACAATCGCCTTTGTGGTCAACAATTTAACGCCTCTGTGGTCTAGTGGTTAGACCACCTGCTTCAGACGCAGAGGTCCCGGGTTCGATTCCCAGTGGGGGCAGATTTTTCTGTTCGGTTTGGTTGGTGGTAGGGCTTGTTCTAAGTCCGCCTGGCTAGCTACCACCATCTTACCTAAGTCTGTCGCCATAACAACAATGTTAACAGCATTATTGTGTTCCGACAGTAGAGGTAAGATAGCCAGTTCCTCCGTGGTTGAGGATTCCGGGTGAAGCTCGCTTCCACCTTCGGCCTGATCGTCACTTACCATCAGGTGAGATACAGGCCAAGAGCTTCCTCGTTGTGGATAAAAAAAAAAAAAATCACCTCAGTTCTCCGTAGGAACCTCTTCTCGTTGTCCCCGCAAATAATTAATTGAAATTGAGTATAATTATTTTTATTCCTGTTATCGCCACTCCTCCAGCCGGTGGGGACCACGAAAATAAAAAAATAAACTCCTGCTAGTGGGAACAAGCCTGGTGGAATAAACTTCTCAGTTACAGGTACAGACTGTACTATATCATGCTTCTTTGGACGAGATAGCGATGAGGATATTGTTTTTGTGCACACCAGTTGACGAGTAAGATTCTTTCAGTATGACACAGACAGAAGATAAATGCGATACTTAGTCACCAGACGGTGCGTCTGGTGACTATCGCATTTGTATCGCATTTGTACTTCCTTAGACATGCAGTAGCATTTTTGATACCTTTCGGAACAGTTATAGTTCAAGTGACGGCGCGAACTGACCACTAATTTTTGGTGGGTAGGTTTAGTCAAATCTTTCATGTGCCTCGTATCCAAATGCAATGAATGACGAATGATAATGAAATGATCTTCATCCGCAGTGCACGGCTCTCCTAGGCGAGAACGGCGCGGGCAAGTCGACGACGTTCGCGCTGCTGACGGGCCAGGCGCGCGCCTCCGCCGGACAAGTGAGGCTACGGGGCGACGCCTCCGTACGCTCTGGGTACATTAGTAAGTCATATTCACTATCTACTTTCGTTCAAATAAGACTTCTTATACACGAGCGGCTCATAGCCGACGGCAGTGGCAACGGCAGCTGTCGCCACCTTTTGGCGGCAGCTGTCGACAGGTGGCGTTAACTGCAGTTATAGCTCTCTTTGTACAGGATGCAAAAACCACTGCCGTCGGCTATGAGCCGCTTGTGTATAAAAGCACTAAGAGGTTTTGATTCGGACGTCAGTCAATCAGTATTTATTAAAATGTTTTAGCGTCAATAACTTGGAAATAATCGAATTGCCTAAGGTGGGAATCGTACCCACGACATTTCCCAGCTTTTTATTATAACGCAGTTGTATTATTTTCCGTGTGCAACCATGCAAAACCACAGAATAATAATAAGTTGGCAAAACAGACGACTGACGTCCGGTTCAAATTTAAAGAACCACACTCGTATGGGCTAACGAGACTATACTAGAAGTCTTTAACCTTATTGCGACAGTTCAACTTTTTCCCGGGACAAACTTAGCCTACACTGGTTGAGTTTTATTGGAGGTCAAGCTGTAGATCCTGGCTACACAGGAGTCGACTCTACGAGATTAGGCATAATATTTAAGCATGTTTACTCTGCAGGTTACTGTCCTCAAACCGACGCCGTGGACCCGCTACTGACCGTGCGAGAAACGCTGGAAATATACTGCACGCTGCGGGGCATCGCTGAACAGGAAGAAGTAAGTATTGATTTTCATTGCTCGCATATAATTCAAAAAATATTTTTTAACGCTAGCACAATACACAGCTATTTTTAGGTGCGCTAGCTGGCGCCACTAGTATGGTAGGATCTCATTCTATAGTGACGCCATCTGGTGAGTTCAAATGCGGTAGCCGTCATTGATGTTATTTATTTATTTATTCTTCGTTGTTTTTTCGAAAACTTCTTATTACCTATCAGCAAATGTTACTGAGTAAAAGCCTGTCGAGTGAGGTACTAGAGGACTAGAGGTTCATACATTTTAAAGTCCGGTCGCCGAGCAGATAGAATTTCGTCCGATGACCGCGAGCGCTCAACGACCGGACTTTATCCAAATGCAGTCGCGTATTTTGTCTAAGTAAGAACCTCGATCGCGTAAGTAAAATTGCGTCATCTAGACAGCTCTTAACCAATCTAGCGTGGAGTAGACGTTTGACGTGAGTGATCGTTGCAGGTGATCAAGCGCACGCTGGCGTGGTTCGAGCTGGCGCGCTATGAGAACTCACGAGCGGGCGCACTGAGCGGCGGCAGCCGGCGCCGCCTGTGCGCCTCGCTCGCCTTCATGAGCCGCTCGCCGCTCATCCTGCTCGACGAGCCCACCAGGTAAGGAACTACTCACTATTTACTTAGGGCACATAGTGTAAGTAGTCCAGTCAATAAAGCATTATAGATGGAAATCCGTGGAACACAATTTTTGACTTTATTTAGACTAGTTAGGAGGTGAACATAGCAAAAGTCCCCGCCCTTAGCCCTTGAGCCGGCGGGGTGAGGGGGGTTTAAAGGTACCACTTTTCGGTTTTCACTTAATCCTCGGAAACTATGCGTCCCAGTGACATGACTACTATGAACTAAAAAAAGCTTATTCAATTTGCTATGTTTGGCTTTTCCGGGTTTCCATTTTGCGATGTGCGGAAGACTATTTCGTAGGCTATCTATGGGATCCCCTACGCCAACGTCTTTGGGGCGTTATCTTGCCAGCGTCGGCGCAGCGCTAATTCGGTGTCGCCTTGATGCCAATGCAATCTACGCAGTCTACGTCGAGTCCACGTGGCGGTATGGCTGCTGTGTTGAAAGACATTAGTGTGGAGGAGGCTTCAGTAAGACTGCGCACGGAGCATCCACCGTGGCGTGGGTTAAATGCTAAGGTGAAGTTTTATTCATGCAAGGCTTGGTGGCATTGCTCAGTCCACTATTTATTTTTGTGTTATCCCATTGTTATAAATGTATAACTCGCAACTTATAGAACCCTAAGCATGAGAGCGCGGTAATTGTTTCGATTGGTATTTAAAAGGATAAAAGTTTTTTTCTGTCAATAAGTTTATTTCTCAAGATTTATTATTAGTTCAAAAGTCTGAATCTTTATAATGTTTGTTTTCCAGCGGCATGGACGCCGGCTCCCGAGGCTGCGTGGCGCGTAGCGTGCGAGCGGCGTGCGCGCGCGGGCGCGGCGTGCTGCTGGCCACGCACGCGCTGGGCGACGCGCGCGCGCTGCGGGCCCGCGTGGCGCTGCTGCGCGCCGGCCGCCTGCGCGCGCTCGCACCGCTCAGGGCCTGCCTGCACAGGTCAGTGGGAGCACGCGGCGTGCTGCACGACGCACGCGCGGGGCACGCGCGCGCGCTGCGGGCCTGCGTGGCGCTGCTGCGCACGATCTCCCTCCATCTCTCTCTATTGGCAAACTGTCTGGTGCAGTCACATAAGCCGTCTCCCATTGCTGTTTTCACTTGGTCGGTCCAACGCATTGGTGACCTGCCACGACTGTGTCTACAACGATAACAATTGTTCGCCGTCATTGTGAGAGGCAATAGTCACCAGCAGTCACTGCGAGGCAGCTGTCACGCGCAGTCAGCGTAAGAGGCAGCTGTCAAAGCTCGAGGCAGCTGTCACTCGCCGTCACTGTGCGAAGCAGCTGTCATGCGCAGTCACCGTAGAAGGCAGCAGTCACCGGGCGAAACAGCGTGTTTGGATAACTGCCTTTTACGATGACGGCGCGTGACAGCTACCAGCTGTTTCGTACGGTGACTAGCTGCCACACATACTCACCGGGGAGGCAACAACAACTGTCACGCGCCGTCACCATGGGAAGCGGTAGTCGCCGCGCGAGGCAGCTGTCACGCGTCGTCACCGGGAAGGCAAGCAGTCACCAGACAGCTGCTTCCCACGTTGACGGTGCGTAACAACGGCCTCGTGCGGTGACTGCCGCCTCCCACGGTGACGTCGCGTGACAGTTGCCTCGTGCGGTGACGTCTCATAATAGCTGCCAAATGCCTCGCACGGTGACGGGGCATGACAGCTGTCAGGCCTTATCCAGGAGGACGAATTCGCCGCGAATGTCAGCGCGCGAACACGAGCATATGTTGCGTCCAGAGAAGCGATTCAAAACGCGAGGGAGGAGATGACGCGGCGCGTGACAGCTGCCAACTGTTTCGCACGGTGACAGCTGCCTCGCATGGAGTGTGGCGCAACCGCTTGTGTTAAACAATCTGTCCCCTTAGGTTCGGCGGCGGCTACGTGGTGGAGTGCCGCGTGGCGGGCGGGCGCGCGCGCGCGGTGTGGGCGCGGGTCGAGTGTCGCGCGCCGCACGCGGCCCTGCGCGTGCTGCACCACAGCGCGCTGCACTTCCTGCTGCCTGAGCACGCCACCGGTGAGACCGCACATCTGCATTCTAATGAGGGTTTTCGCGAATGAAAGATCCGCTAGATGGCGGGACGTGGATGTGGGGTCTGACTGCTGCGTGATTTTAATGGCAACCAAACCTCTCTGGGAGGTTTATTTCTGCCAATGTCGAGTGAAAATTGACATAGTTATCAATAGAACGTAGGTGTTTCAGGTCTATTGAGTTTTCATGGATTCCGTGGAGTTAAGTTTGCCCGTAAGCAGGTTTCGAGACGCCACCGGGTCCAAAGCGGGTTGTTCATACGACAACCCACTCGACACTCGATGCGCACTCAAGTTCGAAGTATTTCAATGTTTTTTATAATTTATCACTTCACTGCACTTTAGAACACAAAATAACACCAAATTTGTGCACTAAAGTCCATTAAATAATAAATTGAAACCATTAAAACAGATCGACAATGCTTCCCGTTCAACTACCTTCCACGGAATCCTGCTGCGTGATTGGTGGATTTTGACATATCTGTCAATGTCATGTCAAAAACTCGCGTCTACGTATTGCCATCTGGCGGATTTTTCATTCGCGAAAACCCTCATTGACGCAGTTACATACACTGCAATCATATCGTCGGGTCGTCATTAACGTCCACTGCTAAACATAGGCCTCCCATCTAAGGGACGATACCCATTGACCGGCACGCGTCGGAGTGCACTTACACGGCGGTAAATAAAATAGTATTTTATTAACAGTTGTTAGAGTCGTAATTGCTTACAACTGATTAACTGACATTTCAAACTAGACAGGACAAAACATTCACAGGACGTCCATTGCTGAACATAGGCCTCCCCCAATGACTTCCACATCGCACGGTTGTTAGCGGCCTGCATCCAGCGCCTTCCTGCTACCTTTATCAGATCGTCGGTCCACCTTGACGTCCCATGCTGCGTATAAAAAACAATAACAATCAGATACCACAATAAATCAGTGTAGTTAATTGAAAACCAATTGTGTTTTCGGGTCTAAAATATGTGTGGTTTGTGCCTATTCCAGTGGACGGTAAAGAAATAACGACGCGTCCGAGCGACATCTTCCGGCTCATGGCGGCGCTGCAAGGCGCCTGCGACATCGACGACTACACCGTCACCCAGAGCTCGCTAGAACAGGTATTACAAAACATTTTAAGCAAAACCTTCATTCGTTCATTTCAGCCAAATGTCGTCCATTGCTGGACAAAGGCCTCCCCCAAGGTGTTCCACAATGAACGGTCCTGCGCTGCCCGCATCCAAGCTCTTCCCGCGACCTTTACCAGATCGTCGGTCCACCTAGTAGGAGGCCTGCCCGCGCTACGTCTTCCAGCCCGTGGTCGCCAGTCGAGAATTTTCCTGTCCCAACGGCCATCGTCTCTACGAGCTCTAATCAATAAAAAATCAATTTTATTTTCAATAAAAAATCAATAAAAAAATAAAATAAAAAAAAACAAAAAATAATATGTAGAAAAAAAAGTCTAAGAAATTACTTACTCTTTCCTACGCAACACAAGACAACTTTATCAAATTATGGCAATGTTCATTTCATCAAATCATGACAAACTATGTCCAATCCTAGTGAGGGTTTCCTTTTGCGCTTACCGGTTGGCGCCACTGACGAATAATATTTTGTCGCTTGTGGCTAAGAAAATGGCGCCATCTGGTGAGCGCCAAATGAAACCATCATTGGGTGGTGTTAGTGCTCAAATACATCAACTATTTGCATGGAATAAAACCCACGAGAGAACTATAGATTGTTTCATTTGATCCAACTAATCCGAGCGTCACTGTTGGCATTGGCAGCATTGCAATGAGGATTTTCGCGATTAAAAAATCCGCCAGATGGCAATACGTAGACGCGAGGTCCAAATGCTGCATGATTGGTTATTTTTGACATGACATTGACAGATATGTCAAAATCCACCAATCACGCAGCAGTCAGACCCCACATCCACGTCCCGCCATCTAGCGGATCTTTCATTCGCGAAAACCCTCATTGTTTAGTTACAATGATCACGCTCTGGTTGGTCGGATCAGACTCCCTGCACCTCGCTCTTTGCTCGACCGGGGAGTGGTGGGGCGCGTCTTCGTGGATGAACGATCTACAGGGTGATAGGTAAATGGGTATATGAGCCGACACTAGCCCATGTTAACATGGCCATATAAATGGTATGGTGAAGTCAGAAAGATATCAATTTTCTGACTTCACCATACCATTTATATGACCATGTTAACATGGGCTAGTGTCGGCTCATATACCCATTTACCTAACACCCTGTATAACTAATTTGGTGTTTGTCAGATGTTCCTGAGCTTCTCGGAGCGCGGGCCCGAGCCCGACGCCGGCGCCGACAGCCGAGACGACCTCACTGACGTCACTGCGCTCTGAACCTAGCACTGGCACTGTAAAGCTTACTGTAAAACTTGCTTTAACTACACCAACGCGTGCAGATCGATGGCCAATGACAGTTCACGCGACCCATGACAGTTCAGGCGACCTGTCATTGGCCTTTGATCGTGTGCCGGCGATGGCGATCTGCACGCGTTGGTGTGGTTGAAGCATAACTACGCCATTAACCCGTCGAACGATTCTCTGAGTCATAGAAAAATATTTGCCCTAAAGGCGCGCGCGCACTCGTGCATTTTTGTCGCCGTGACAGTATTATCCGTAATCTATATCCGTTTCTTTTACACTATTATAAAGAGAAAAAGAAAGACATACTGTCCCGGTGACAAAAGTTTAATCACTGAATGAAACCTTGGCGAATCGCGCAACGGGTTAATTGGAATCTATTTTACACTGAGAATATGACATAATTGGTAAATTTCTTTGTCAGAAGCCATATTATCAGTGGCTGTAAAGAATTAAACATTGGTTAGTCAAAAAGATGATTTGGTTTATTTAAATCAGTAAACCATCTGAAGTGCATTAAAAACATGTAATTAGCACTAATCATCATGTAATAAGAGTTACATAAATTATATAAAATGGGTTTGTGATATCAAAACCAAACTACCGTCCAATGTAAAAAAACGAATTGCTCAATTACCTTATTGACAAATTACTATTTTACTTTAGTGTTGTATAAATGCATAGGGATAAACATAGGTCAATTAGTGTGGTCTTGCCATTGCCATGGAAATACATTTAAGTTTTTTTTTAATATTTATAAACACTGGCAATTTTTTTTCCGATGTGGCAACTAAATTATTTCTTTTGTGGCAACCCTCAAGTATTGTGTACAGACTGACAGCTTAGTGTGACGCAATATTTAGAAACCTTCCACTTACCTTTTTGTATAGGATTTTATGTATTTTAGAAATATTTTAGGTACCATTTTAATGCAATACTAGAAATAGTCGACACGAATGTGTTGTTTTGCATTTGAACAACCATTCGCATGTGAGAATAGCATTAAGTTAATATATTTACCGACTTAGCTCAAATAGTATGTTATTTTATAAATGTATATACGAGCTCTGTGATATTTAGTGTTTTAGACTAAGAGAAATAAAATATTTTTGAAGGTTTATGGAAATTTGGCGTTTATTTCTTAACATTAATGACTTCCTTAATAATCCTGAGTATTCACACCATTTAAAATGGATTTATATAAATAGAAAATATGCTTAATAAATTCAACAATATAAACTTAAGTAGGTAGTTACTAAAATCCCGATATCTTATCTCCGGCAGCTCTTTGGAATGATACAGTCGTAAATATATGTACAAATTCGTACATATTTGCGTTAAAGCTTGACACACAAAGCGGAACGGCACGTGTCATAAAAATCCGTCCAGCCGTTTATGCGAGAAAGATTAACAAACATACATAACACGTACTATTAGACTTGTAATATTGATTGTAGAAAAAAATCAACCTGCATAATACCGGACCCGTTCCGCTGTGATGTCACAACATTGCTTATCCTATTAGTAGGTATTAATTTAAGAGTATTATAATTTATAAACATTAAATTCATAACAATTAAGCATTGGAATATTTATGCACAAGTACGTATTTTACGCTTATTAAAATAAGTAGATAAAATAGTGATCAGAATAGCGCGCCTGTTTCTTTCAAATCGGCAATAAAAATATTCACGAGTTTTACTGAACACTAACTTCTTACTACAGCTTTTAAAAGATAAATTCTAATTTATTGAATTCTTAAAAAACGTTAGACCATCTTTAACTGTAAAGTAACTTCCGATCACTTAAAATAACTTAGATAATTTTAACGAAATATTGTGTAGTTTACAAAACAATCACTTGTACACCGCTACAATTCTTAAATCACAGTCCACCACCGAGTAAATCGTAAATTAAGTACATACGTTCAGTTGGCGTCGAAGGACGGGTTGCGGAGCGCGGCGGCGGCCTTAAAGCGCAGAGCGATCGCGTCCAGCGCACGAAAGCATACGTCACGGTTGACGGCCGCGTGCGTCAGGCTCGACAGCGACAGGCGGGCGGCGCTGGACACCGTCTCCGAGCCGAATAACAGGTTCACTGGAAAAAACATTCAAAATTCAAATTAAAGCAAGACAAGCTACATACGCGCATGTGCGTTACTATAAGGATAGCAAGACAAGGTTACATTCTCTCTTTTTACTTAATAGGGGAGCAAGACAAGGTTTTATATTTATGAACAAGGTTACATACACTCGTGTGTGTTACTAAACAGGGTAAAAAGACAAGGTCACATACACAAGTGTTATTAAATAAGATAGCAAGATAAGGTTACATATTCTCATGTGTTACTTAGCAAAATCAATTTACATTCATACATGTGTGCAACTAAATAAGGTTGTTGCAAGACATGATTACATACACCCATGTGTCTAAATAGGGTAGTAAAAAAAGGTTACATACACGCTCAAGTTACTAAATAGGGTGAGCAACACAATACATACATTCCCTCTTGTGTCACTAAATTCGAAAGCAAGACAAGGTAATATAAGCTCTGAAAATAGGGGAGCAGGACAAAGTCTGATACACTTATGTGTGTTACTAAATATGGTAGCAAGACAAGGTTACATACATTCGTGTGACTAAATAGGAAAGGAAGATGAGGTTACATACACTAATAACATGGGGAGAAAGATAATGTTACACTCGTGTGGGTTATTAAATATGAGAGCAAGACAAGGTTACACTACTGCGGATACTAAAATAGGGACTAAAGAAAGAAGAACTGAACTCTAATCTGTTATTAGTCTGGAATCAATGCAAGAGTTTGGAGTTTCGAGTGTCCGTAATACGGGCCTTAGTAGCGTGCATTGGGGGAGGGACCTATGTCCAACAGTAGACTGAAACTGATTGGCTATGTTGCAACTGGAAGTGCTTTCACAGACATTATTCTCTACAAAAGTCTACTACTGAGAATGAATGAATTTACTCACATTTAGACAAGTGGTTCAACACCACCGCGCACGTGTGGTCGACGTCAAGCGGACGCAGTGCGTGCTTCTTGCCGAGGCTAACTTCGGCGTCTTCCGACATCTGAGCGAAGGTTGCGAAGACTTGCTGCCGCAGCCAGCTGGACAGCTCGTCTAGCCACGAGTCGATGAGGGTCTCGGCTATGTCTGAAATGGAAATTGTTTATAAATTCGTTGTTTTTGTGACAATAACTTGGTGATTAATCTGAATAAATATTTTAATTGAACACAGCTTGTCTAGTAGTAAGCTCCGTACAAACATTAGCAGTATTAGCACCTTATGTAGTTATAATAAGTACGATTTAGCATTGAATATTAAAATTATATACAGATAACAGCACGCCAAGTTGAACACTGTGAGGTGAGTACATCTTATGTATCAATAAAAAAATATAATCTGATGTGCTTTCATCTGTAAAAGTATTTGCCTTTAAAAGGTTGTGAACTGTCTACTTTCTCAGCCAAAAGATATAAGCCTTTCCAGCGAGCAGTACAGTGGTGTATCCAAGTAGCCAAAAAGTTCATAACACGTCTTTGTTTGTGATATTCAAAAGTAGCCAAAAAGTTCGCATACGTCTATTCAATAGGAATAAGGTGGCGAACTTTTTTTTTAAATTCAAAACAAGCCAGGTGTTTGACCACAATCGCACCTGATTTTAAGTGGGATGCAGTCTAGGATTACAGGTAGATTAGGTACATTTCTGCCCTGTAAGTGCTTATTCACTCTCGCCTTGAAAAGGCCCGGATTATACACTCAACATCAAATAAACCGCACCTTTCGCGACGCGAACTTTAAAGATTTTCTTCTGACACAATCATGGTGCCCCAACAATATTGGTGTTATTTGAAAGCCCAATCTGGATCCTTCTAAAGACACATTTTTGGGGTAAAAACCTTTCCTTTAATGAAATGAAGATTAGAACTAGGTTTTTAAATGGTGCCAATATTGATGGGAAGTGGGGATGCATACGTTTGAAAGTACTGGTCGCGGGAGGTGCGATTTATTTGATGTCGAGTGTAGTTTTTGGGAAAGACAGCAGCAGGCAACGAATTCCAATTAAACAATTTGACGCTGATATAACATTCTAAATAGACGGAGGATCTATTTGGCCAAAGACATAAGACATTCGTCTCACCAGCCAGCAGGAGCGCGGCGAGGCGGTGCGCGACGTGCGCCCGAAGCAGCCCGGCCGCCGCCGCCAGCTCGCTCGCGCCCGCCCAGCCGCGGCCCAGCTGCGCGCACCACTCCTCTGCGAAACAATATAAAGGGTGATTTTGTTATCATATCCAAATTTTTACGAGCGACTCAAGAATCAATAACCTTATCGATTTACGTAAAGATTTTTTTTTTCATATTTAATTATTTTTATCCGCTGCGCGCGATTTCAAAATTGGCTCACGTAGACAATTTGCTTCGTTCATAGAAAAATACGAACACACAGTTAACTACAAAGCCTAATAGACATAATGGTATGCGAAAATAAGCCTTCCTTAACCTTTAAAAATTAGAATATGGACATCCGCGAATGAGATTTTCAAAAATTTTTTTTCGCGTAAAGTACTGCGATTTGGAAAAAATTAGATAAAGTTGTATTGTTAAATTGTTAACTTGTAAACTGATAACAAAATTAACCTGTATTGTATATTTACGACATTATGTATACACTCATTGGATATGTTTAGAATAGAATAGAATAGTTTGTTTTTCATCTCTGAGATCCGCCAGTGATCGGAAACTAAATAAATGGAGCGTGCGGCACTCACAGTATCGTATTTTCACCAATAATAAGATATATCCATTACATGTTTGCCCTTTCCACATATTATAGTATAGTCATAGTCGTAAATGTTTATTGCATCATGTTGGTACATCAATCAATCAAAAAATGTTAGATCAATTCTAGTCGCTCAATTCAGAAAAGTTGAGTCATTTCTACTAACGAAGTGTAGCGCGCCATACTAATTTTATGTAATTTTATATGATGATCTGTGTAGGCAAGGCATGTAGTAATAGAAAAAGAAGCACGATCTCCTAGACCCCAGAGAAAGTCCTTAAAAGAGCCCTACGACCAAGCAGTTCCCACTATAAACACTCGCAAATGTGTGATCGTAGCATTCAAGTAAGCACTCACCGAAGTCCTCGGGCACGAGCTCCGCCTGCTTGGGAGGCGGCGCCAGGTGGTGCAGCGAGTCCAGTGCCGCGTCCACGTGCGTGAAGGCGCGCCGCGACCCCACCAGCCGTGCAACCGCGCCGCCCACCTTATTGCAAAATAAATCTATATAAATAAAAATGAATTGATGTTCGTTAGTCTCATTAAAACTCGAGAACGGCTGGGCCGATTGAGCTGATTTTGGTGTTAAAATGTTTGTCGTACTCCAGGGTAGGTCTAAACGGTGAGCAAATAAGGAAAGATTTGCTAATTTATTGCCTTTAAGGCGGAACAGAGTTCGCCGGGTCAGCTAGTCGAAAATTAAATAAAGCTTTCAATAAATGCTTTTCATTTCGGTCACAGACACGCGTAGACGTTTTTGTCGAGACTCAAGATCACTAATTTGCGTTAAAATTTTCCCTTTCGAAAACAAAAAAGCAAAAACGTAAGTTTGAAAGGTCAAAAATGTTGATCTACTTCTGTTCTCTGCTTCGATATAATCACGACATGTAGTAGAAACCTCAAAGTTTTTAAAGGTCGGTCGTCATAAAACTACCTGATTTTAATCATGCACATCAAGGACTTGGTCTATTTCCCTTTTTATGGCAGGGTTGGAGTGGGGTCACAATTCAGAGGTACAACCGGGGTCACCAAATGTCAGTGACCAAAAATCAAGGTCAAAGTAACCAAAGATCAAGGTCGCTAAAAGTCAGTCACCAAAGATCAAGGTCAATGTAACCAAAGCACAATGTCAGTCACCAAAGGTCAAGGTCACTGAAGGGCAAAGTAACAAAAGAACAATGTCAATCTCCAAAGGTCAAGGTCATTCAAGGTCAAAGTCACCAAAGGCCAAGAACATTGAAGGTCAGTCACCAAAGGTCAAAGTAACCAAAGGTCAAGGTCACCAAAAGTGAAGGTCACTTGCTATATTACGCGTGTAGTACTCACACTGAGCTCGATGGAGGTGGTGACGTAAGCCCAGTCGTGGCGCGCGCCCTCCGCTCCTTCCGCACCCTCGGCACCGACTGCAGTCTTGATCGAGTTGAACACGCCCGTCACCGTGCGTTGGAACAACCTGACAAAAATACCTTTTACTGGGTTAATCTGAACTAAATAGAACAACTGGGTTTTTTTTAAATAGAATTAGTACCCAAATTACACATCCCCCTCTAGTTAAACCCTAGTGCTAAGCTTAAATACGCTTCGTGTTACGAGTGGATTTGCCACAATAGTCCAGCAAGTGGCGGTCGGGCACTTTCAACTATTGTCGCTTTTTATGTAGGTAGTTGATAGGTACGACTGTTAAAAAATTGCAGTCTGATATGCTATCGACTATGCATTACTGAGACTATGCAGGCTATGAGAAACACAAAGAAAATGCTCAAAGTTACGGTCAAACCTCGCCCGCTCATTTGCGAAAATACTTACGTGCCGTGAAGCTCACTATACTACCCGTTCGCGCTAAGTTTGCCGATGAGATATGACGTCACTCGAAGAAAAGCGTCTATAACTATAACAAACTATATTTAAAATATTTTTTAATTATTATTATTGATAAAATTGTGTATTTGCGTAAAATAAGACACTTTAATTGGGTTTAAGCACTAACTAATTGCGTTTAATCGCGGTTGGAGAGGACGCGCATTCCACGGACAGGCAAACTTAGCGCGAACGGGTAGTATCGCAAAAAAAAACTACCTCCGATGTAACCAAATAAAATGACTATTGCAGGTAACTGGCGCAATCGTGTGCAAATCGCAAAATGCCGCGTTATATTTACCGATATGCAACAGTTTTCTGACTACATCTACCTACCTGAGCCTACTCCCTAAAAATGGCGTCGTTGCATAAGAGAAAATACTAATATCGCGGTAGGGCTAAGCCCCGTTTATTACAATGAAAAACCTACCTACATCTTATTGCAAATAAAAAAAATGGCTGTACTAATCTACAAAACATGGAATAAACCCTACCATTACTTGCGATTCATCATTATAAAGTTGCATCGTCAATTATTTCCTTAAAAATATTATTCTATTTTCGGGAAATCTTACGAAATTTGACCACTGACTATCCAATCTACATGAAATATGTAAAAACGAACGCACCAATTAATGAAATAAAAATTAAAATAATTAACTTGTATCGTCAATCATTTGCGTACGAAACTTTTTAGATTAAAAATTAGAAAAACTTTCGGAATTTTGGCACACTGACTCCATACAAAAAATGAAAAAACGAACACGCAAAATACAATATCGATGTCGCAGGCAAATTGTATGATTCCGCATTTTACAAACGGCGTCGTCAGTTTACAAACGCTCGCTGTTCTATGAAATGCCGAAGGCAAATTGGCGACTCGTTCAATTGATAAAATTTCGACTATGATTGTTGCAATAGGGTGACCATCATAAAACACATGTTGGACAAATCAGACTTAATTTCAGAAATCAGGTAGGTATCTATTCAGGTAAGACAAACCTAAAATACTAGCTACTCCTAAAGTAATTAAAATATTTTCGTAATAAAAACAACATTAAACTAATTTAAACTATTGACGTACCTATAGGTAGGTACATAAAACTATGACATAAAATAAGTTTCGATAGTCAGTCCTTTAATTAAGTCTTACATTTTAATTAGACCTAGAAGAAGTTTAGAAGACAACACAATATTTTTTTAAACCAATAATATTCTGCAGCAGTCCTCCACCAGTCCGAGCACCAGATTCCATTGTCACCTTAGCGTTTTTTACGTGCCGGATAACCTCAAAAACTATTTCATTTTTCCATAGCTTTTTCACTGCTCCTATTTGTGAATCGTAAAATATTTTTAATTCACTAAGTATAATAAATGTCTTTTTTTGTGAAAAGTCCTTTGAATACGTAGAATTTGCACTGTTTTCTGTATCACAACACCACGACTCGACGCCATTTTTCTTGTTTTGATTAGCAGCGCCTCGCGTGGTAAGAAATTGAACTAAATACTTCAATTTGCCGCGGCATTTTGTAAACAGCAATTGAATTGGCTATCAAATGTTTAGGCATATTATAAAGTGCCCAGGCAATTTACATTTTGCCTTCGGCATTTCATAGAGCAGCGAGCGTTTGTGAACTGACGACGCCGTTTGTAAAATGCGGAATCATACAATTTGCCTGCGACATCGACATAAAAATATATTTAAAATCAACTCACTTGTCCAACCGTTGCATGTTGTTCGACGTCTGACCGGGAGACACGTTCCTCTCGATGCTCATATCGTATTCGTCTACAAAGAAATTATTCAAGATTCAACTTCAATAGATTGCTCGAGATCTTTCCGTTACGAATATTCAAAGAGAAGAGGGTAGAACAGGGTGGCCTACTTTACCGAGTTGCCGCCATTAAACGGGTCGTTCATTCTTGACTCACTCATTCGTTCACTCTTTTTTTAATTTTGTTTCGCGGCTTTGGAATTATCTCATTTGAGCAAGCAAAATATTTCACCAAATTTTTATTTTATTTTATGACGTGTTGCATTAAAATTAAAGAATTAATTTTATACTTTAACGATTTTGAAACCCCAAATGGTAAAGATCGGAAATGTTGATTGATGGCAGCGCCCTCCTGCAAATGACATTTCAGTGTTTTCCAACGTGGCAAAAATCGGAACCAGCGATCCGTTATTGACGGTGGCGCCCTCCTATCAATGTCACGGGTGGGTACACATTTCAGCGTAGTTCATTTTATTCATTCAGCGTACTTTTTTTTGCCTGTGCATTTGCCACGACACCGAAAAATGTCGGGAAACGGATTGATAGAAAAGTACCGGAAAAATCATACTTTCCTATTTTTTAATAAAGATAACATGCTATAATTATAAAAATACGGACGATAGCTGGTCAACAATTTTAGTTAATCCTCCGACAAAAATATAAATAAACGGCACTAAAAAAATTTTTACCTTGCGTTTTACCCATCATAGGGCACGATAGGGCATGTATTTTTTTTAAGTAACTAAAAAAGGAATGTTTCCTTTGAGTAAAATTTTCAATTTACAGTATTTTCTCTTCCCTTCAGGTGGCATTACAAAATTGCACCCTGTATAGTTTCCAACGTGTCAAAAATCGGACCCAGCGCCCCCATGTCAATATCACGGGTGGGACAGTTCAATGTAGTTCATCTACAGTGTGAATACACGTATAGTTCGTTTCATCCACGAAGACGCGCCCCACAAATTTTTGGTCTCAGTCGCGCGGGGTGCGGGGAGTTTGATCCGAGCAATTCTAGCGTCATTATTGTAGCGTATATGTGGATATTGACTAGTGTGACTGACATAGCCCGCAGAATCGCTAAAATCAAGTGGCAGTGGGCGGGGCACATAGCTCGAAGAGCTGATGGCCGCTGGGGCAGGAAAGTTCTTGAGTGGCGACCACGAGCTGGAAGACGTAGCGTGGGCAGGCCTCCCACTAGGTGGACCGACGATCTGGTGAAGGTCGCGGGAAGTACCTGGATGCAAGCGGCGCAGGACCGGTCTTTGTGGAAATCCTTGGGGGAGGCCTTTGTCCAGCAGTGGACGTCTTTCGGCTGAAACGAACGAACGAACGAACGATATGTGGATAATTAGCGTGTTACACCAGTAGCGGCGTAAGGAGGGGGCGGTGGGGGCGGTCCGCCCTGGGTGCCAAGCATCAGGGGGTGACAATAGTCGCGCAAAATAGTATCAGAGTATATACAAATGAGTAGGTCATCTTCATAGAAACGCCCGAGCGCGGTTTGTATGTGAGCGCGCCAATACGTATGCGGCGCGCACGCACATACTAACAAAATTTAGCGTTGATTAGCGGTAAGTTGCCCCGAATTTTTCCTCATTTGTATTTACTCTGGTAGTATTCACTGGCGCATCTGCATGACAAGGAAGGTCATGATGATATGTCATGATACGGGGGAAGGGGGGTGATTTTATAGCTGGTCTCGTAGTAACATCTTTCATCTTCGAATCGGTACCAAAAATTGTGGGGGGCACCAGATCATTCTGAGGTGCCTTAGAGGGGGGGGGATCGCCCCGGATGCCAACCTATGTTATGCCGCCACTGTGTAACACTTAAACCAGTGTCGGTGTAGCATAGGTTGGCACGCACCCCCCCCCCCCCCCCCCTCGTCATAATATAAATTATAGCCCAAGGCACCCCAGAATGGCATCACGACCGTCCTTGCCATGAAGATGCGCCAGTGAGTAAAATAAAATTCATAAAATTCATTTATTTTTGCAAATAGGCTTTAAAAAAGCGCTTTTACACAGTACTAATCTGCGCGACTTGTGTCACCCCCTGATGCTTGGCACCCGGGGCGGACCGCCCCCACCGCCCCCCCTTACGCCGCTACTGACTCAAACGTTAGCGGAAGAATGGTGGGGCGCGTCTTCGTTGATGAAACGATCAGTAGTATTANCTGATGACCAAGAATCTACGAGATTGGCTGATAAAAAAATGCTATTATAGTATTACGGAATTCCAAAATGATAATGTATGTTGACTTTTTGTGATTTGACTATTTCATAATTTGACATTATATTATTTGTTCTATGAAAATACTGTTAAGGATAATAAATTTTAAATTGACATGATAAATAATTACCTAATACGGAATACAATTATATATGAGTGGTAATCGTTAAATTAATAATATTGTACTATCTAATTGAAAACTTATTGTAATTTATAAAAAGTCGTTTTAAGACGAAAATTTGCATGCTGTGTCATCATAGTTAAATAGGTGAAAGCAACATTTATCTCTTTGAAACACCTTTTTGTAAACCCTATTTATTGCAAATAAATAATTTGAATTTGAATTTAGTGAGCGTACCGGCGAGCGCGGCGGCGTCGACGGGCCGCGAGGAGGCGTGCTGCGAGGCGCGCCCGCGCTGCTCCTCCGCGCCCTCCCACCAGATGTCCTCCGCTCTGCGAACCACGGACGCACAGTGGTGTCAAAGCACATAATATCACAGTTAATAATACCAGGCATGTTCATCTCCGCGAGTTTACATCGAAAACAAAACACGCACGATGGCCCACCTACAGGATACTATTCGACAAGGCCTCACATACGAGCGAACATTGACTCACGCACGCGTATTCTTGTGTATGATGGAAGAAAATAAAGAAAATGGTGTACTAAATACTGTGCAGTATTTACTTTCTGAATAATAATAAAAACACAGAATGTACTTTTTTAAGTTGCCTCTTGAGGCTGAGAGGAAAATAAGTAGTTAATTATTATTCATGATAATTCATGCTAAATCATGTATTTCCTCCGCCATTTTCCGCAGTTTGGCACCTCACGTCACATCATTTTACCGAAGTCAGCCCTATAGCTTCGGCGCAGTGCCGATCACTGACGTTTGTCAACAAAATTGTGCTTGACTCTTGAGACAGGCTAAATTACACCATATTGTTAAAGACATTGAGCATAAATTTTTTTATACCTTCGCGAAGTAAAACTTCTGTACGTAGTACTTATTATTATTCTGTGATAATACCCTTAGACATTTTACAGCGCTAGTCCCAAACTTGGGTTTGTTCGATTTAGCCTAGGCGCAGACCATCGATTTTTCGTCGGCGGATAGTTTAGTCGAGCAGTTGATTAGTAAGGGCATGTATGGAAGTGCGCACATTACGCCGATTCAATTTCGCCGATACTTCATACAATTTAAAATTGGGCACAACTATCGGCCAACTAAAAATCGATGGTCTGCGCCTAGTCTTACCTGTAAATTTAGGTTTTAACATTGATCTCAAGAGCTCTGTACCTCACCTGGGGCCTGTCTCAACGATCCTACAGTGAGCTCGGTAGGTAGCTCACCTAGGACCGTCCTCAGCGCGCTGCAGTGAGGTCAGGAACTCAGTAGCTCACCTGGAGCCAGCCTCAGCCTGCCTCCAGTGAGCTTAAGAGCTCAGTAGCTCATCTGGCAACGGCTCGCGTGTGATCCAGTGAGCTCATTAGCTCACTAGCTCACCTGGGCCGGGCTCTATGCGTCTACAGCAGTGAGCTCAAGAGCTCAGTAGCTCATCTGGGGCCGGCTTCATCATGCCTCCAGTGAGCTCAAGGACTCAGTAACTTTTCTGAGCCAGGCTCGGCGCGCCTGCAATGAGCTCACGAGCTCAGTAGCTCACCTGGGACCAGCCTCGGCATGCCTCCAGTGAGCTCAGGAGCTCAGTAGCTCACCTGGGCCCGGCCTCGGCGCACTGCTGCAGCAGACAGCGCAGCTTGGCGATGCTGGTGGAGAGATCGGCTGCTTCCTCGTACTCGGACTCCGGGGAGTCATTCAGGGCTCTCAGAGGCGGCGGCTGCTCGCGGGGAATTCAGTGAGCTCAGTAGCTCAATAGCTCACCTGGGGCCGGCCTCAACATGCCTCCAGTGTGCTCAAGAGCTCAAGAGCTCAGTAGTTTACTTGAGACCGGCTTTGGCGCGCCTGCAGTGAGCTAAGGAGCTCAGTAGCTCATCTGGGGCCAGCCTCAGCGCGCTTCCATTGACCTCAAGAGCTCAGAAGCTCACCTGGGGCCGGCCTCAGCACGCTTCCTCCAATAAGCTCAGAATCTCAGTAGCTCACCTTTGACCAGCATTAACGCAGTTGCAGTTAGCTCAAGAGCTGAGTAGCTCATCTGGCGACGGCTCATGCGTGGTCCAGTGAGCTCAGGAGCTCAGTAACTTTTCTGGGTACGCCTAGGCGCGCCTCCTTTGAGCTCAGGATCTCAGTAGCTCACCTGGGGCCCGTCTCAACGACCCTACAGTGAGCTCAGGAGCTCGGTAGCTCACCTAGGGCCGTCCTCAGCGCGCCTGCAGTGAGCTACGGAGCTCAGTAGCTCACCTGGGGCCGGCCTTCGCAGCACGCCTCCATTGAGCTCAGGATCTCAGTAGATCACCTAGCGCTGGCCTCAGTGCATCTGCAGTGAGCTCAAGAGCTCAGTAGCTCAACTGGGGCCGGCTTAGCGCGCCTCCATTGAGCTCAGAAGCTCACTTGGGACCGGCTTCGGCGCGCCTCCAGTGAGCTCGGGAGCTCAGTAGTTCACCTGGCGCTGGCCTCAGCGTGCCTTCAATAAGCTCAGGAGCTCAGTAGCTCACCTGGAGCCTGCCTCAACGATCCTCCAGTGAGCTCACGAGCTCAGTAGCTCACCTAGACCCGGCCTCAGCATGCCTCCATTGAGCTCAGGAGCTCAATAGCTCACCTGGGCCCGGCCTCGGCACGCTGCTGCAGCAGACAGCGCAGCTTGGCGATGCTGGTGGAGAGGTCAGCTGCTTCCTCGTACTCGGGCTCCGGGGAGTCACTCAGGGCTCCCAGTGGCGGCAGCGGCTCGCGGGGAATTCAGTGAGCTCAGTAGCTCAATAGCTCACCTAGGGCCGGCCTCAGCATGCCTCTAGTGAGCTTAAGAGCTCAGTAGCTCATCCGGCGACTGCTCGCGCGTGGTCCTTGGAGCTCAGTAGTTCATCTGGGGCCAGGCTCGACGCGCCTGCAGTGAGCTCAGGAGCTCTAAGGAGCTCACTAGCTCATTTGGGGCCTGCCTCAACGATCCTACAGTGAGCTCAGGAGCTCAGTAGCTCACTTGGGACCGGCTTCGGCGCACCTGCAGTGAGCTCAGGAGCTCACTAGCTCATCTGGGGCCAGGCTCGGCGCGCCTGCAGTGAGCTCAGGAGTTAATTAGCTCACCTAGGGCCGGGCTCATCATGCCTCCAGTGAGCTCAGGAGCTCAGTAACTTTTCTGGGTACGCCTAGGCGCGCCTTCTTTGAGCTCAGGATCTCAGTAGATCACCTAGCACTGGCCTCAGTGCATCTGCAGTGAGCTCAAGAGCCCAGTAGCTCACCTGGGGCCGGCTTAGCGCGCCTCCATTGAGCTCATGAGCTCAGTAGCTCACCTAGACCCGGCCTCAGCATGCCTCCATTGAGCTCGAGAGCTCAGTAGCTCACCTGGGCCCGGCTTCGGCGCGCTGCTGCAGCAGACAGCGCAGCTTGGCGATGCTGGTGGAGAGATCGGCTGCTTCCTCGTACTCGGGCTCCGGGGAATCACTCAGAGCTCCTAACGGCGGCGGCGGCTCGCGGGGAATCGCTTTGGCTTGCGACGGCTGGAAAAGGTTTAGTTAATAAAAATGAAATAGTAAAACGAATTCATAAAAGTCAAAATACTGGTCAAAATTAATACTAATATTAAAACAGGCCAAGAGCATCCTTCTTGTAGGTAAAAAGAAAAAATATTTTATTTTGCGCCATTGCTGCATTGGTAGAACTCCCGAATCAGGTTTTTCGTTTTAGTTGCGATTTCGTCGAAATACAAATACACACTCGGTCCACTGGATATAGGCAATCCCCAATACGCGCCTATGTATCTTGTCTTTCTTCGAGTTGTCGCATCTAGCTTCTGCCGACGACTACGCGACTTTTCGCAACCAAGTAACCTTGACAGTTTGTATATGTAGTTTTAGTCAAAGAGAGCTACAACCAATGACTACAGCCAATAGAACTTACCACGCTATCCTGGGAGATGACTCTCTGCTGTTTTATTAACTGAGGGGCTGAACCGTTACCGTTGTCTTCTGGAAAATGTTTCATTTAATTTTAAAGCCTGTGGAGTACCCATATTTGATCAAAAATATTTTTTTTTAGTTTTAGTAGTTAGATAAATAATATTATTCATATTACTATACTGCTTAATTAAATGAATGAACGGTTGTAATCCAAGCTATGTTTGGGACGTGTTTAAGTGCATATATTTTTTTCGTAACAGTTTACATGGTACGAAACTTTATTGGTTCCTAAGCAATATTTAGAAAAATCATACGAAAGAATATAATTATGATAAAGTTTTGATTTAAATTGTTTCGCTGTGGTACCTTTCTGTATGACTATGGAGGAGCCCGTCTCTTTAGACTCGGCCGCCGTCTTAGCCTTGGGGCTTGTTTCCGGCGGCGACAGCTTCTCACCATTCCCTCCTTTCTCTCTATGGGACGGGGATTTTTCCTGGAAAGTATAATTATTTTTATTAGGTACCTCCAATATTTATGCATAGATATTTCAAGCTCTGTAATTTGTGTATGAAAAGTAGTACAAAATTGATCCGTACCGGCGACAAAATTGGAAGGTGGGAATTATTTATTTATTTATTGAAACCAACAGCGATATATTGAAAACGTTAGTTATAAGATTTAGACTGATAGTATAGCCAAAGACAGGTTTCCCTTTTTATAAAAGACTTTTTATAAATTAGTTGAAATTAATATCACGTGTACGTGAAAAATTACAATGATGACATGAGCATGGGACTATTCACATCTCGTACCCATTGCTGCAACTCCTATGTAGCCATGATCTACAGCTTGACCGCCAATAAAAACCCAACCAGTGAAGGTCAAGTTTGTCCCGGGGGCCAATGACATGGGCAGTAATGATTTTAAGAATGATTCCAAGATCAATGTGAGAAGATTTGAAGATGATAAGCTAACCTGCGAATCGTCGCTGAGTCCCGTAAACCGGAGGCCTTTCTTGAAGCCCGCGATGCCAAAGTCCAGCAGGCCCTCCATCATGCCTGCCGCCTCGTCCTGAACAATCGAAGCGCGTGAGAATTTGATTTAACACGGATATTATTATGGTAATGTCTAGCATGCCTGACTCTAACGGGCCTTGCGCTGCCTAGTGTCAAATAACTGTAACATTTCATTTGAGATTTGAGGTTTGGCATCTATTTATATTTCGGAGGTATTAGGTAGTTAATCATAAAGTTACAAACTCGCAGGCTACTCGTTATTTCTATTGAAAAAGCTCATGAGGAAAGTAGCTTATGCGGACTATTACACACTACGCAGCGCAGTGCCTGTTCAGTAATGATGTGTGTATAATCAATCAGTGATAATAGAATATGAAAAAAGAAACCCTTCACCATAACATTCTAGCATTGAATTTATTTTAAGAAAT